CATTTAATACATTCTTGAAAGGGTGTATTACTTTTTTTCTTCAGTAGAAAAGTTAAAGTTTGCTATTTTTCTTACTTTAAGTTTCAGATTGAGACTTTTTGCAGAATAAGTAATGTCCTAAGTAAGGACTGTTTTCACGACAACAACAGGAACTATTATCGAATTGTATTGAGAGAAGAAAGATTATTGCTTGATTTCATTACACATTATAATAATGCTTATTAGTAATAAAATAGAGAAAAAAATCCTTAACAGAAGTCCAACACGGAAAACATGAAAATGTTGCAGGATCAGTTTGATTAAACCTGTTCATGGACGGTAGTGGTAACTGCAAGCTACCGTCCACGCCTTCAGCAGAATTCACATTAAAACATGGAACTGGTACACTTTAGATTTTTTAACATCTGTGGATGTGTACATATGGCGGTTATCATGGAACCTTCAATGTGACATGTTATTGCCATTCTATGAAAAGCGGCATATTACCCCCAGGTTAAAAATTTTGTGTGCCCTAAACGAGAATACAATGAGTGAAACTAAATAAAAGGAAATTTTGAGAGGGATCGGGGTTATGAAGCCTGCATACCATAGATAAGCTGTTAAAAGAAGCAAGCAATGCCCTATGAATGATTAAACAGTATTTAAGTGAGCAATATTTCAACCTTAAATTTTATTTTAAGTTGGAATTTCCATCTACCATAATGTATTTTGTAAGTATTTAAAAGGGTTTATTACGTTTGGTTTTCTTGGATTTTAAATTTCAACGACACTGAGGTCATGTGAAAACATTCCTGCTTTAGTGTAAAGAAAGACCCAAGATACCCTTTGTGAATTATTTCAGACACGAGCGGGCACCTGACTAGAACCACCGACCTTCCGTAAATTAGCTTGATAAATTCCTCACATACAAAGAATCCAAAGTAATGATTGGATTTCAACTACAGCAGTAAATGAAAGATAATTTGAAGTGGTCGGCCTTATCCCGACTCTGCCACTTTTATGTACCTCCATCTGGCACACTAGAGAAGATATTGTAATTGTCTGACCTTAATTTATACTCTATATCTTTCAATATTATATTCTTTTTCAGAAACATGAAAACTGCTATACAGAATGTCTGAAATAAGAAAAAACGAGTTTTAATTTCATAATGACAAAATAATCGTAAATTCAACAAAGAAGCATTCGAAATGACGCCATGATCATGATTTGATTTGAATGCTTTTGGTTCGAGACGATAAGGGTCTTTAAACATTGCCTTTTTTTTAAAATCTATATATTTTGGGTTTTCGTATCCCCGATTGCAACCGAAACCATTTGAACAACTAATTGGTAGAAAGTAATGTACATTTCATCACATTTACTATTTAGTCAAGTAGTTACTGAGCGGATGAGATTGAACACACATGTGTACGACAGACGAAAGAATAGCCAACGGGCCAATAAGCTCACAGAGATTAAAAAGTCTATATAATATTCATACATTTTACCTAGGATATATAGAAAATATCGAGGTCTAAACTGTAACCGAAATCTGAGTATAAACTGTAACAAAATCGGATAAAAATCGCTAGGTCTATGCTGTAACCTTGCACAAATCACCTCGCTCTATACTGTAACATTGTTTATTTTTTCAAACGCATTTTACCAACAGGAAAATAGGTTCAACTGGTCATTTACTTTTATAAACGTTTCTAAACACAAAGGACTTACGTTTTGTAGATTTACTTTATCTAGGCATGCTTAAATAATGTCGAAATTGGAGAAAAATGCGTTGGTCTCTCGATTCAAATTTTCAAACTGTCAAATCTGCATATTTATTAGACAATATAACGATAAATCTGCGGTGCAGAGTCTGAAGAAATATATGACTAGATACCGTATTCTATTCCTTACAAGCAAAGCACATAAACATCTTTTAGAAACTAAACTACTTGTAGTATGGACCGGAATAAAAATCACCTACCTGTCCACCCAACAAATAATCCTCCATCTTGAAAATTCTATACTGTAACCGAAAAACGCGATACTGTAACACGTTCCCTACGGTGTATCTACCTACAAAGTTTCATGTTGATACCTCTTGTTGTTACAAAGTTATGCCCCGGACAAGAAAAGGGGATGGACGGATGAAAGACGGACAGATGGAAGGACAAGAAGGCGACTATATGCTCCCCCGAAATTTTTCGGGGAGCATAAAAAAATCCACATGCAAAGTCCCAGGTGCATATATGTAGCTTCACAGTGATATGAATCATTATTCCTGTAATTTAGTGATGTTGGTCATTATTCCTGTAAAGTTGGCTGATTCTAACTCAAGCACTCAAGGAACAAATAACAACATAACGAAACGGTTTTTACTAAGTCAATGGAAATAACTCTACACATACTGGATAAATCCACAAGCGAAACCCTAGGTGCAAAACTAAATATGCTGAGCAACCTTCCCGTAAGGTTTAATGACTCTATGTCAAAACCTTTTTGAGTTACATGCAACGCAAGTTGAAAATTGCAAAAAAATTCTAATTCAAGGGCAATAACTCTAAAAATACTAAATAAATCCAATTGAAAATACCCAGGTGCACAACTACACAAGCTGAGCAATATTCCTGTAAAGTTTCATGACTCTATGTCAATACTTTTTGAGTTACATGAGACACATTTTAACTGAAAATTGCAAAACATTTACTAAGTCAAGGGCAATTACTCTAATAATATTATATAAATTCAGACAAAAATACCCAGGTGCACAACTATACATGCTGATCAACATCCCTGTAACGTTTCATGACTGTAGGTCAAATATTTTTTGAGTTACATGCGACACAAGTTGAGAATTGTAAAATTTTACTAAGTCAAGGGCAATTACTCTAAAACCACTACATAAATCCAGACAAAAATACCAAAGTGCATAACTACATATGCTGATCAACATTCCTGTAAAGTTTCATGACTCTAGGTCAAATACTTTTTGAGTTACATGCGACACAAGTTGAAAATTGCAAAATTTTACTAAGTCAAGGGCAATAACTCTAAAAATACTAAAAATATCCAAAACGAAAATACCCAGGTGCACAACTACACATGCTGATCAACATTCCTGAAAATATTCATGGATCTAGGTCCAATTACTTTTGAGTTACATGCGACACAAGTTGAAAATTGCACAATTTTACTAAGTCAAGGGAAATAACTCTAAAACCACTACATAAATCCAGACAAAAATACCAAAGTGCACAACTACATATGCTGATCAACATTCCTGTAAAGTTTCATGACTCTAGGTCAAATACTTTTTGAGTTACATGAGACACAAGTTGAAAATTGCAAAATTTTACTAAGTCAAGGGCAATAACTCTAAAAACACTAAAAATATCCACACGAAAATACTCAGGTACACATCTAAACATGCTGATCAACATTCCTGTAAAGTTTCATGACTCTAGGTCAAATACTTTTTGAGTTACACGAGACACAAGTTGAAAATTGTAAAATTTTTACTAAGTCAAGGGCAATAACTCTAAAAATACTAAAAATATTCACACAAATATACGCAGGTGCACAACTTACCCATGCTGGTCAACATTCCTGTAAAGTTTCATGACTCCAGGTCAAATACTTTTTGAGTTACATGCGACACAAGTTGAAAATTGCAAATTTTTACTATGTCAAGGGCAATAACTCTAATTTAGTAAAAATGCTATATAAAACCACACGAAAATACTCAGGTACACAACTGCACATGCTGATCAACATTCCTGTAAAGTTTCATGACTCTAGGTCAAATACTTTTTGAGTTACATGCGACACAAGTTGAAAATTGCAAAATTTTACTAAGTCAAGGGCAATAACTCTAAAAATACTAAAAATATCCACACGAAAATACCCAGGTGCACAACTTAACATGCTGATCAACATTCCTGTAAAGTTTCATGACTCTAGGTCAAATACTTTTTGAGTTACACGAGACACAAGTTGAAAATTGTAAAATTTTACTAAGTCAAGGGCAATAACTCTTAAAATACTAAATATATCCACACGAAAATACCCAGGTGCACAACTTACCCATGCTGATCAACATTCCTGTAAAGTGTCATGACTCCAGGTCAAATACTTTTTGAGTTACATGCGACACAAGTTGAAAATTGCAAATTTTTACTATGTCAAGGGCAATAACTCTAAAAATGCTATATAAAACCACACGAAAATACTCAGGTACACAACTACACATGCTGATCAACATTCCTGTAAAGTTTCATGACTCTAGGTCAAATACTTTTTGAGTTACATGCAACACAAGTTGAAAATTGCAAATTTTTACTAAGTCAAGGCCAATAACTGTAAAAATAATAAATATAATTATATCCATACGAAAATACCCAGGTGCACAATTAAACATGCTGATCAACATTCCTGTAAAGTTTCATGACTCTAGGTCAAATACTTTTTGAGTTACGTGTGACACAAGTTAACGGACGGAAGGACGAACGGACAAGGGTAAATCTAAATTTATGCCTGCCACTAAAGTGGGGGTACAATAAAAGTTAATTTTAGGGATGGACACCTGATGAAAAGCGATCACAAAAGCTCACCATGTCACTTTGTGAAGGTGAGCTAACAAAAAAAAAGAAAAAAAAAAGAAAGGTTGATCCTTCTGGAGTTTGAACCCATGCCCCTCAATTTCAATGCAGTTGACAACTAATTCAAAGCCTATTTGATTACTCATGAAAGTGGAGGTATTATGCATTAGCAATGGTCAACCTTAATTAAAACATTACTCCTTTATAAGACGTCATGACAAAATTGACAGTGATTCAAACAAACTGGAGAATAAATACATAGTCTAGCTATGACTTCGTTCAATATTATGAAAATATATTATAGTCCTGTACAGTAGACTTTAAAATATAACTAAATGGTGTTGCATTAAAATGTGCCAAGTTCAAAATAAAAATCTATTGAAATTCAGAAAATATAAAATAATAATATAAATAACTTACTTTTTATATAAAGAAACATCAGTCCATCCTTAACACTTTCAGAAGATAATCCAAGTTGTCTAACTAAATGTACACATTTTAAAATGTTTCCTTATCTATGTCCTGCAGTAAATTTCTGATTAAAAATAAAAAAATGATGTCTATTTCACCTGTCACTTGTCTCATAATCTATTTATAAATTGTTTCTCCCAAGTTCATTTAAGGTTACTCAGTACTTGTTGTTGTTTTAAACTCAAACCTGTACACTCCAGACTTCAAGGTGCCATCATAGGTGACCACAAAATTGTCTGATTGTTTTATAAATGTTTTAAAGTTTTTAAATTCTGTTTCTGGTTTTATATCACAACCTGCCATATATACTGTCACTGTATGTGGTAGTTTGTTTATAACAGTAATGAGATCATGTAACACTGAACAAGACATTGTTATATAACGCAAGCCAACACGTTCAATATTGATCATTTGAGGTGACAGTGTTAATGATCTTTCACCTAGATTGATTCCCAACAACCTAACATATTTCACATGATATAACAATGATAATGTTTGTAACATTGTTTCTATGTCACTGGAAGATTTTAGATGACTACACCTAAATGTTTGTAGTTTACTGGCTGCTGGTAGTTGACTGAGATAAGATGACACAACACCAGGTTTATATAATTTACCTACAGTACATTCCTCTAACAACGATACATCCATGTTTAATTGTGACATAGGTATACAGATCAATCCTAAACGTCTAAGTTGTGAATGTTGAGACAGGTCAAGGTTGAATCCCCTACATGAAGTATTCGTGTGATCACTACAGTATAAATTGTACAATGTTATTTCTTTCATTGATTTTTTACTAGTGAGGAAATTTAACAATGTCTCCATTACCTCATGGGTCATAGTGAAACTTTCTATATATAAACACTCCAGGTGTTGTAATTTTACCAGTCGTCCATTTATCTCTGCAGACAGCCGACAACGTTTTCCTACAAATTGATGATTTTTCCATTTATTTGATATCACAGTTAAACATTTTAAAGGGTTCAATAACAAGCTCATTATTTCCTCTTCTACAATTTCACCTTTATAGTATAATTTCTCTATATGTGGAAGGTCAGAGAGTGTAAACAAACTGATAATTTCTTGTAGACTACAAATACCTTTATTTTCTATCATTATTGATTTTATATTTTCTTTATTTTGTTGACATAAATGTTGTAATTGTTTGAAGTAGTTTTCTTGTTGACATTTTTCATTAATGAAGAAATCTTGTAAACACAATTTGAGGTCTTTGTTTTCCTGGCTTTCTTTGGCACAAGAAATGTACATGTCTTGTATGTCTTGTAATGGATTAATGTACATGTAATCATAACCTGTCAAAGTTCTGTATTTGCTTGTTTTTTCATCATTGTTTATCAGAGGCTTCAAATCACTTGATATTGTAGACATTAATTTAGGGTTCATGTAACTAATAAAGCCAAACACTTTTGACATATCTAGAATATTTTGTAAACAGTTGCACTCTTCAAAGTTTAAGATGATTTTTTGAACTTCACTTGTATTTTGAAAACTTATAAATATTGCTGAAAAGTATTCCTGCACTGTTTTATGTGAAAATGAGATTTTAGAACTTTCGTTTATTAATGTTTTCACTTTACTTTCTGATAATATTCCTGATAGACAGCTTGATTTCAAATCTTCTTGGTTTAGATATTTTTCTGCAACATTTTCATCAAATACTAATGTGTGCTCCTTTTTCTTACTGAACAATGTATAAAAAGCTAGTTTCCCAATGGTTACCAGAAACATGTAGTAACTACAGAAATGTTGATGTTTTCTGAAACATTCAGGAACATTACTAGGGGATATTTCACACGATGAATGAAACTTTCCATGTAATTTTTCTGTTCTAGATAGAAGGAGCTGAATAATGCCTGTATATAATTCTACTGCAGAATTTCCTATTGGAATTTTTTCAACCCATAAGCATATAAGATAGAGTAACAGGAGAGGCGTGGATTCCATATCATCAAGGTCATGGTCACTGATTTCTTCTTCAAATCTACACACTTCATTTTTCAGTTCACCATATTGAAGGTTTACATTCAACATTTTCAGTGCATTAAGCTTAAACTGCCTTGCATTCTTTTTATTCAGTTTAACTAGCTCTACTGTTTTGTCCATTTGACTTGTCTTCAAGTTTGAGCCTCCAAGCTTCCATGGCCGGGTCGTTGTTAAGATTACACACTTTTCACGTGCATATCGATGAGGAATACTTTTAGGAAGTCTTGTACAATCGTTTTCAGGATGAAACCATTCATCTAGTCCATCTAATATCACAAGACATTTTTCATCACGTAGAATGTCCTTTAATAATCCTTTTGGCAATGAAGATGAGCATGGAAGATATTGTATGACTTGTTGTTCAATCATGTCGTCAACATCACAGACTTTAGCTGAATCTCTCAATAGCACCAGAAATAAAAAATCAAAGCCAGATAAAGCCTTTAATTCTTCTTCTTTAAAATGCTTGTAATTTTCATCCTTTTTATGAGCTTGGCACCATGTTATAGCGAGATATTTTGAAAATGCAGTTTTCCCAAATCCAGCAACAGCTGATAAATATATTTCATGGGGAACTTTTCTACCAGATGTAAACAGGTCCTGTAATGACTTGACTCTAGTTGTTTCTTTCCTACCGCCTGGCAGATATGTCTGTATGTCAATTTCTGGCATAATGTAGAACCCCGCAAGAGGGGTAGGGAAAGCATCTGTGAGTGGTGAAAGGTAAACTGTACTCTGATTGGTCTGGTTGTACCATGTTATAAGTTCATCTTTAAGTTCTGAAATAGAAATAATTCTCGCATTATTAATTTATAAATGTAAACTATAGATCTACAGTACTATACAATGTCATTAAAGTATATGAACACAATTTTTAATGCTTTTATATTTTTTGTAGCTCTACTGTACTGGCGATTTGTAGTGTCACAGTTTCAAATGCACTGAAAAAGACAAAATATCATTAATCTAAATAGATCTACATTTTGAAAATTAAATAAAATTTTTTTAAGTTCTCCCTAATATGAACATGTACTGTACTGTATACTTAGTAAGATAAATAGAACACACGGAAAAAGAACCGTATTCGTCTGCTACTGTAGTACAGTAACTGTATATTTTTAACTAACGAAGCAGACGAACACAAAATACTCTAATTAACTGAACTTAAACTCAAACAAAACATGTTTTTAATACCTACTGCTGTATTTGCAGAGCACCTCACTTGATTTTTTAATCAATTCAGTCTGCATCTTAAAATTTTGTAAATCATAAATAATTTTTTGAGCAGCCTGCTGCTGTCTTTACTAAACAATGCACCGAAGGAACCCTTGCACTGACTTAACTGTAATAAACATCTCAATCTAAAAATAGTTCACGTGACGTAGAAACAAGAAATATCTTTTGAAAAGATACACTGCCAAGTTTAACCACAGGAAATTGTTCAAAGTTTGAAACTAAAAATGAAAAAAAAAGAACAGTTTATTTTAATTACATTGTTAGAAGGGAAGAATTTTATGCATCCCTTCTAGGACTGAAAGGGAGGTATTTAGAGGTGCCCTTGCATGTTCGTTCGTGCACGCGCACGTGCTTAAGTTCATATGTAAATCTGAAAGTCCTTAAGATAGAGTCAACTTTCTTTATTACAGGACTGTTGATCAGCATGTAAAGTTGTGCGCCTGGGGTTTGTTTCGAGTTTAGAGAAATGTCGTGCATATACATGTATAACCCTTGATGTAGATTCTACTGTTCTATCTTTTTTTAGCATATTTTAGGATATAGAATCTAGATTTGAGATTTGAATTCTTAATATTGAGAAAAGTTACACTGTTTATGACGTCACTTTGTTCGCTATCTAATGCATTCGTTTATGTCAAACCACTTGCCTCTAACCGCTGCGAGTTCAAATCCCGCCAGGGACTTTGGATTATTTCATGTACGGAAGCTAACCAGCTAGCTTTCGGACCAATGTTGGTGGTGTGTCGCAGCCAATCAAAAAGACAAACTATCAAACTAATCTATTCGCTATTGAAAATGAAATACATAATTAAATTGAATATTACAGATTGAAACGACACCATGGACTCATGATAATACCAGGCTCCGAAGAGGAGAAAAAGTGAAATTGTTTTCATCTTTTAATCATGCCAATTATAACCCCCTTTAAATTGAAATTTTTCAAAGAAAACATTTGCAATATAAAATAGAAAAACAAAATCCATATAGAAAGTCCAACATGCCAAAATTGACTATGTTGCAGGCTCGGTTTGATTGAGTCTGTTCATGGACGGTACTGGAAAGTGCAAGTTACCGTCCACGCCCCTAGCACAGGCTTAAGCAGAATTCAACATCTAAACACGAAAATGGTGAACTTTTAAACATAGAAACATCCGCAGATGTTTTCTTACAGCGATAATAATGGACATCAAAATTAATGTGAAACAGTAGTGCCATTCCATGAAAAGCGGCGTATGGTCCCCAAGTAGAGAATGCGTGTGCCCTAAATGAGAAAACAATGGGCGCAACAAAATAACATGGACTTTCGAAAGGGGATCTGAGGTTATGAAAACTGTGTTTTTTTGCATAACCAGGTTCTGTCTCACGGTAAAAAATATCAGACGTGTATATATTTCGATTATCTGATTCTTTATTGTTCCTCTGTTTTAAAGGCACATTATTCGTCAGCAGTGCTAACATGTTTATTTCTCAAAATTTTTATTTTTGACATCTTGTTACAGTTTCAAAAACATACTCATCTGCTACATGCATGAAATGTCTTTTGTATCTCAAGCTCTGTTGGTAATTTACTTATTATTATAGTGAATATGTATTTTGTATAGAATTCAAATTCTACTTAATTTACACTTTTCTGCCTTTACGACACATTATTGCTTGTTCAGCTGTAAAACATCTAACATGCTCTAAACATATGTTTGACATTTCTTAAGAATTAAAAATATATGGATTTCTGAGGCATGATGTACCTTTAATAATAATATTAATAATATTACGGTAACGCTGGTGGTGTGCTTTGTTGTTTACCACGCGGATCACGGCCGGTTACAGGTGAAGAATTGTAACACTAGTGATAATCAATATATTTCGAGACATTGTTTCTTTAACTTCATAACAAGATATTTTTTAAAGATTTATTATATCTACAATAGCCTTGAAATAAATGTTTATTAACATATAACCGAAGGCTTGATATAACACTGAAATTACTCTGTATAAACCTAAAGTAAATAAACTCTCGAAATAATAACTCTGACACATCTTATGGAGACCAACCACGACATCTGCAAAATATACCTATAAATTGTTTACAAAAACAGTTATTCATATCCATTGAAAACATAATTAATCACGGTCGACAATCGCTGTCGAAAAGTCTTACACAATAATTAAATTTAGTCAGCTATAAAACGTACTCATTCATCATAATTGAAAACGACAATAATATTGAGACGAAAAATATTGAGAAATAAGAAGGTTTATGATTGTATCACTTATCTGAATAATCTGCTTATCAAAACTTATCCTTTCTTAACTAGTCTTGTTTTTTGCTTGCATGTATTAACCCTTTTTGAGTGCATGTATTAAACTTCCTGTTTCTAATGTACATGTTCTTTTCTCTTAAAGACAAAATGAGTGCCCCTGTCTTTTCTAAGCGTAATATATTAATATGTTCACTTACTTCACACGTATACATACGATTTCACTTGTTCACAGTTCTAACAATGATTGTATATTATGTATGTATATGTCTCATATTTATGTTCTATGCACTTATCTAGTGGGTTTCTTTTTTGTACTTTGAATAGAAATTGGAGGGATAAAAGCTTTGTATGTTTGGTAAGAGACTAAAAAAGCTTGGTTTATTAATCTATTTACTAATTAATTTATAATTGTCTCATTTTCGTATGTACATACTTTTCTCATTATGTTTATTGAACCGCCGAACATGGGGATAGACATTGTAAAATGTTTTTGCGAATCTTGAAAATATTTTGAATCTTGTTAACTTTTAGTGTGTTTAAACAACTATCGGATAAAATTTTATCAATTTATTATCGTGTCTGTTTCCAGAGTCCAAATTATCCTTATCAAATGCATATCTTACAACAAATTGCCAATTTTTTATTTTCATTTCCAGAGTTCAAATAAGTATGTCAAATTGCATTTTACCCCATATAGCTTCGTTTTCATTTTCAGTGTCCCAAATATCTATATAAAATGCATATCGTACTCCTTACAGCCTCAATTCTATTTCTTACAAAAAACCCTGCCAGTTTTTAAATCATACTATATATTCATATATTTGCCTCCTTTAGTGCGCACAGTAGAGTTTAAAACATATCTACTTTATATGAAGTTGAAACATTAGGATTTAAAAATTGCAAAGAGACAGTGTAGCAAGTTTTAATAATTTAAGCAAAAAATATCTTTTATAGAAGTTTTTTTAACGTAAACAAATCTGAATACAGTGTGATCCCTCAGGAGCATAAATCACAAACAAAATTACTAAACATTGCAAACACGGTTTGATTGAGGATATATATGAGGGCTAATAGACAGCCCTATGTCGCTCACCTGAATGTAAATTTATACATTTAATGACTAGGCATATGCATTATGTTATATATAATATGTTATATTGTAAACTGTAAACGAAAGCAGATATATTATCTTAATCTTAAACTGATAACACAAATTTAAGTTGATATTTGTATCTTAAATAGCGCATGTGTAAAAACATTACTGGTTGCTAGTGCAAAGGGAAAGCAATAGTTACTAAAGAAGTCATTTTTTTTTGTTTTTTTTATATATGGTTTATATATGGTTTCAAGAGTGCCTGCTATGAAATTCAATAGTTAAGTCACTCGTTGTTATGGAAGTATGTATGCTCTGGAAGTCACTAGCTGTAATACGTATGCCATGGAAGTCAGTGGTTTCTAGTGTTATTTACAGTTTTTTCTATGAAAATATTATGAGTCATCATTTGCTATAGAAAGTCAATGGTTTCTATGTGAGACATTGTTTGCTAAGGCAATCAATGGGTGCTATGGAAAGAATCTGTTGCTATTGAAGTCAATGTTTGCTGTAGAAAGTCAATGATTGCTATGAAAACCTCATGGTTGCTATGTAAATTTAATGGATGCTATGAATATCACTAATTGGTATTTGAAGTCACTATTTGCTATGGAAGTCAATGGTTGTTGCAGAAAGTCACCGATTGATACGGAAAATTATGGTTGCTATGAAAGTCAGTGGTTGCTATGGAAAATCAGTGGTAACTTTAAAAGCCGCTGGCTGCAAAATAGGTCACTGGTTTCTATGGAAAGTCAAATGTTGCTATGGCAAGTTAGTGGATGCTACGAAAAGTTGTTAAGTGCTTTAGAAGTGTATTGATTCTATGAAAAGTCAATGGTTGCTATGAGAGTCACTGGTTGCTATGGGATGTCACTAGTTGCTATGGCAGTATTTGGATGATATAAAAAGTCACTTGTTGCTAAGGAAGTCGATTGTTGCTATGTAAAGTCAATGGCTGGTATGGAAGTCAATGATTTTTATGGCAAGTAAGTGGTTGTTATTGAAGTAAATGGTTGCTATGAATTGTCGAAGGTTGCAATAATACTAGTAAAATCAATGTTTGCCATGGAAAGGCACTAGTTGCTATGGAAAGTCACTGGTTGTTAAAGAGATCTATGGTCTCCATTGAAAGTAAATGTATGCTATGGAAGTAAATAGTAGCTATGGGAAATCAGTAGTTCCTATGGTA